ATACACTATATTATAGATGTTACAGACAAGAATAATACGAAAATAATAAATAGGGAATGCAGAGTAAAATTTTTTTATAAGATGCATCTTTTTTGAAACAATTGAGTTTGAAAATTTATCAAACACGCGTGAGGCAACTTGTGACGTATGATATTCAAAGTTCAATGACGCCTTGAACGAACAAATTTTATTCTACATTTTTCATTTATTTTTGCACGTGGAATATACGGAATTAATCGAATTAAATTATGTATGAGAAATTTGGAAACTCGAAACGACGTCTTTGATGGAAAAAATCCCACTTTTCCATTTCGATGAATTTTCACATGTAGATTAATCTCTCCTTTCGTCTGAGTCCCCTTCCATAATTGTGCAAATATTTTCCTCGTAGATTTTATGACGCGGTTATAGAAAAACAAACAGTCGCAACGCCGTTAGTTTCCCTCAACTCCCCGTGTCTGCGGCGTGCTGATTTCCCGTGAGTAATTGCGATATGTGATTTCACGGAATCGTAAGAAACGTCGAATAACACGCGTCTGATTTTACGCCTCGTTAACGCTGTAAATCATTCCCATCGTCGATCGGCAAATTTGTTTCAAATTTATAAAAGACCTTTCCAAAATTTCTGGAGCTCGACGAACGATGAAAATCGGTAGCATGTAATTCGAATACCGTGTAAGTATTAACAATTCGAGAGAATTTATCCATTTTCTTAATTTGATTCAGTGATTCGTCAAGCTCGCATCGTAATTACAAATGCATACCAAGTGATTAAAAGGTAACGCGAGAGATCGCGAAATCAAATATAGCGACAGTTCACAACCATTAATAAGCCATAAACACAATGTAAAAATCTTTATATAATCTGTTAGTGTATGTCATTTTGAAGCTCTACACGGTCTATTGACTCTTAGTAACACTTAATAATTTATTTTCGTGCGTGTGGACGTGTCTTTCACGGACATTATACGTAAAGGAAGAATTTGAAAAGACCTTTCCAAAATTTCTGGAGCTCGACGAACGATGAAAATCGGTAGCATGTAATTCGAATACCGTGTAAGTATTAACAATTCGAGAGAATTTATCCATTTTCTTAATTTGATTCAGTGATTCGTCAAGCTCGCATCGTAATTACAAATGCATACCAAGTGATTAAAAGGTAACGCGAGAGATCGCGAAATCAAATATAGCGACAGTTCACAACCATTAATAAGCCATAAACACAATGTAAAAATCTTTATATAATCTGTTAGTGTATGTCATTTTGAAGCTCTACACGGTCTATTGACTCTTAGTAACACTTAATAATTTATTTTCGTGCGTGTGGACGTGCCTTTCACGGACATCAGTTTTTTTTTTTTTTTTTTTTTTTATATTAGCCGACTGAGTTCTGCTGATTCAATGCCTTATCTCCCTGTCCAAGTTTAACCTTTTCGGCGATAAAATTGAAAGTTGGGCGTGCTTCGCGTGCAAAACATAGAGAATCGCGCGATATGTTACAACACATTCGTCACGTTGTGCATATTGGCCTGATAGTTGTAACAACTCGAGCCATTGAATAGTGAAAGAAGTTGGACGACGAGTGTTCACGAGCGTTTACATAATTCTCGTAGTTTCTGAAGTTTGCAGCACGGCTTCTATCAGAACGCGATATGTTTTTCGACATCGTGCACACATTGTGCAAGGTGTATCAGAAAACATGTGGGCACAACTTCGCTGATACATTTACCACATAGAATAAAATAAGGAGGAATTCTTCTTCATTCAACTATTTATAAATGCCAGTTACGACGATCTCCAACGAATTCAGATAACGTTTGAATAAATTAGAATGTCGGTACACAAGATGGTTAGAAGTTTATATCAGTCGACGAAGCGATCTGACCAATTTCTATAGAAACAGCTAAATAATTGACACAATACAGAAACGATTGTTTCAGAAACAAAGTCAAAATTATATCGAGCGTATGTTTATACGAACAGTTTTTCTTTAGAGCGTTACTTCTGTAAAAAGTTATGGCTGTATGTTTTTCATATACGGGTTCGTCCTAGGTTTCAATGAATCGTAGTATATTCTACGAGTCTAAATAAGAAAAGAATGTTACGTAAATACTTGTTTAAAGTTTTATTAAAAAGTTATGACAAAAACATCAAACACCATAGAAAAGAAACACAGTTATAATAAAGAAGAGATCAGCGATATTTACCTTTAATCTGTTTATGTAGAGACGGCTAATTCTTAAGATGTTATACAGAATATAGAATATAGAATATTGCTGTTATTATATCAGTATTATGTTCTTCATATTTCATACTTTTGCCGTAATTTTTTCATAAAGTTTTAACGTTAAAACAATA